TACAAAAATCCACCCAGCCCGCGAAAGGTCGTCCGCCCTTCGGACTCAAATGAGGGGAGCCCCAAATAATGATAACTTTGCCCCCGAGTGGATTTTCCCTGTTCAGTTTGAGGGGCTGGAGAAGGGTGCGCGTTGTTGGGAAGTTAAGCCTTTGGCTAACAGGTTGCTCGCGCCCCTTCCCAGCCTTCCTCCTCTCCTCTCCCGGTGTAATTTTGAGAAACTGATGGGATTGCCGCCGTTTCGTGAATGGCGACCGAATATTGTATTCTTTTAAAACCACCGACTCCTCTGGTTTACAAATCAAACATACTGCCGACGGAATCAAATCTCTGTGAAAAAAGTACTCATGTTCCCAAAGTTTTTTTAAACTTTTCTCTTAATGCAACAGTGGCGCACCCGCCTCCCCCGCGCCTCCATCAAAGCAAGGCATCTTCTCAATTCTTTTTCCGTTGGTTTGGCTAAGCCCGACGCGCCGTTAGAGAGAAGAACGAAAAGAAGATCTTCTCAGCTCCTGTGGTCACGGCCGGTCGGATTTGAGCTGACAGGACGCTCAACAGCCCGCCACCCTAACCCCGCAATGTACATCAGCAATGTTTAGATTTGTGGTCAGGAGAAGAAGTGCAACCCCAATAAATAAAATAATACAGAAGAGATATTCCGACTGCTGGCACCATAAATAATAGTTAAAAGTTATTAACAATTTCGAGCCATGGGCAGCGGCCCAAAGATTAAAATCGGTCCGGGGCCAACTTTGGAGCGCGGGCACCCCCAAAATTGGCAGCCTGCCTTTAGGTCCGACTTCCCTGAGGGACCAGGGTAATACGCCTAGAAGGTCCTAAACTGCCGGAAATCCAAACGAAGAAGAAGAAGAAGAAGAAGAAGAAGAAGAAGAAGAGGAACGGCGTGTTTTCGTCACGTGACCGGCAGTATGTGTAGTAAGTTCAGCGCTATTAGGAAGTGTTTATTTACGATGCAGGGATACACAGCGCTGAAGTATTGAAATACGACAATCGGCCCATTATTGTGGGAGGATTAGCTGTATTTTCTTTAAAACGTGTGTTACGTTTGAGTCCGATTTACCGCCAGCTGTCTGTTTTTGGCTGTGAGCACTCAACCTTCGCATGCTAGTTTAGGCTAAGTGGCTAGCTAAGTTGGACTACAACCTTGCACTGTCCGTCACCACAATCACTCTGAGTTTTCTGCTGTCTGCTGGTGGTGGACGCTTTCCAACAAGTCTGTTGTCATTTTCTCTTTGTCCTAGTTTAGCTAATGTCTGTTAGTTCTTGTGGATCCATCGGCTGACAGTCCACGGTGTGCGGTTTATGTACGTACGCTGACTGTCTCTGCTGTGGATTAGTGGTTTTTGACAAGACATGACCGCCTACTGACAGTGGCATTAAGCTGGCATCGACATGGAAGCTGGATCGATAACTCGATGAGGAGGTTCAACTGTCGTCTTTGGCTGTGAGTTAGTAACACTGCTGTTGGTATAAGGTTATAACGTGACTGATGAGTTCATGGTAGCTGTAGTCAGGTCATGTTATGACGCCGCTTTGCTAACTGCTAAGTTTAGTTAAGTATCTTAAAGTTACTGTCACTCTGCCAGCTTCAGATAAGTGAAGCAAGCCTTGGGTAAGCCATCGGCTGTCACTCACTCCTTTAATTCTGTGACTAACTATAATGTTAGCTGTCACTGGACAAAGAGCTCAGACAGCTTTAGTCTGCTGTCTGTTGCTAATACCTCCTAAAAGTAAGAAACCCAGTTTAGTGACAATGTTATCCCAGAGCATCCAGTTTACTTAAAGCTGCAGTAGGTAAGTTTTATAAAAATAACAACAATTGGAGATTGCCAACTTATTTGCGGATGTGTGTGCTGCGCCAGCGCCCCTTGACCTCTAGGTTGTTGTTTGGGTCGCAGCCAAAAACCTTCTCTCTACTTAACAACAGTTTGCACTGCTTTGTGGGCACCTTTGACCTTTGTCATTATTTTTTTGCTAAACGAAACACATTTTTTAAAACAGAATTTTTAATTCCAATTTATTTTAATTGTATATAAAGGGGTCATTTAAATTGATATCAAACACCTAGGAAAGAAAAAGATTATGGGCTGGATTATCTATTATTATACATATTATATATTTGACATCATATCACAAGTTGGAGGTAGGGGAATGGGCTGGAGGGGCTAGAAATGGCCGCCAAAGTCAGACCCCTGAGATAGACAGTTATAAAATATCTTATCAGATGGGTATCCCTGAGACATCTTTCTTAGAACTAGGCTGGAGTTGTTTTAGGAGTCCTCAGTCAGTAATAGGAATGGGAATATTCCCAGTGCCAATATCAGGTAAAGGCAGCAGTGAGATGTGTAAACCTGAGGTTTTATTGTTTGCTGAATTTACCAACAGACTAGCGGTTCTTCAAACTTATTCGATGAACTACTGATAATATCTGTCCCAAACAGGGGAACAGAATGTATTTGCCAAATTAAGTTTTGATCTACTTGGAAATGTACTTCCTTATGCAACTACTCTCTCAAATGTGCGTCCTGTGTTTATTAGACATTGAACTCCTCACCTGTGAAGGCTACTGCTGAGAGGGTCGTGATTTTACTGTCACAGTTTCCTCCCACACCTCAGAGTAGCTCTCATCGTCCCTGAGCCACCAGGATGTTGGAGGGCCTTGTTGCCTGGGTGCTAAACACATACCTGGGAAAATATGTCAGCAACCTGAACACAGATCAGCTCTCCATCGCCCTTCTTAAAGGTAATTACACCTGCATCTATTTTTTCTTGACTTTCCAGTTAAATAAGTCCACCTAACTCAAACGTATGCAGTCTAATACAACAGCTCTGCAATAAATCCTACCTTCATGAAGGCTCTAATGTTTTTGTTGAAACTCTTTTAGAGAGGTGTTGATTCAACTCTATGATCATTGGGATGTAGTTTGTGGTGCTGTTCAACTGTATTGCATTATGGCAAGAGGCTTTTATGTTATTTAGCCTACCCCTTATTGATATAAATGGGATGGACAATGTATCAACTCATAACATAAAGTGCAGGTGGGTATTCTTTGAACTGATACATAGAACACATTAATGTTCATGATATAGTCAAATTTAACAAAAACTAAATAGTAAAACCTTCATGAAGATAGAATTTATTGTACTTGTTGTTGATGTTGTATTAGACTGCATTACCTTTATCTAGTTGAACCTAATGATAGGGTTGAAACTAACAATTATATTCACATTTGATTAATCTGTTGATAATTTTCTCTATTGGTCCATGAAATGTTAGAAAAATGTTCATCAGTGTTTCCCAAAGCCCAAGCTGACCCAAAGATATTCAGTTTAATGTCATAGAGGACTAAATAAAGCAGAACATTCACATTCAACATTCACATTTGAGAAGCTGAAATCAGAGAATTTAGACATTTAAAAAAAATTATGATTAATGATAGTCAAGGTAGTTTATGATTAATTTAATAGTTCACAACTAATCAATTAAAGTTGCAGTAGGTAACTTTTATAAAAAAAAAAAACATTTTGTCATATTTGCTGAAACCTTTACTATTTCCTGACAGTAGTACGTGAGACAGATAATCTGTGAGACAATTAGGTTCCTGATAGTGCAATCCACTGGCCATGAAAGAAAACAATCAATCAGAGCTGAGAAATGAGTATGAGCTGAGAATGAAACCTCTTTCTGTCTCGTGTATGATATTGTAGGAACTGTGTTAGACATTTATACCAGTGGGCTTTTACATTGAACAGTCATTCAGACACTGCCTGACCAAACGACTATAACCTCTTTCAATAGCTTGAACTAAAAACATTGACACTGTGAGGTTAAGTGAGGCAGCCCAAGTTTGGTACAGACTTTGTTTCCTGTTCTTCCTCAGGTGCAGTGGAGTTGGAGAACCTCCCTCTGAGGAAAGATGCCCTCCGAGACTTCAGCCTGCCATTTGAAGTCAAAGCAGGTGAGACACACTGACTGATGAGCTCACACAGCTATCATTACAACAGTGGAATAGGCCTTTAATGTATGGGTAAATCTGAACCAAGGTTATTATAGTTAATTAAAGCTAAGCTAAAAACTAAAACTATGTGTGACAAAAAACATTTTAGCTAATTGAATAAAAATTATATTGTGTGTTTACAAAACATACACAAATAAAATAAAAATATGCAGAAGGTTAGTTTTAGTCTGCCAATCTGTTTAAATTGTCCAACAAAGCAAGCGTGAGGAGACATTCACAATGGTTACTGAACTTGAAACTTGAAAATGACAAAAGTAATAATAAATAAAAATTTACTGAAAATTAACTAATGAAAATCAGACATTGCTTTTGAATTGTGGTTCAACAGAATCATACTACTAACTAAACAAACTAATGAAACTGGCCTAGAAAACAACTGATGGTACCCCTAGAAAAGGGGTTGTTAAACTAAGGTGTGTCCTGTAATTAGCATTACAGGTGTCTTCAAACTTGTAATCAGTTAATGTGCCTATTTAAAGGGTGAAACGTAGTCACTGTGCTGACTGGTATCATGGTGTGTAC